AGCAAAAACCACCCATTCGACTGAGAGTTTTCAGGCCAAATGAAATCAGTTCTCGTTAGAAGTCTGCCCATTACGTCTTTAAAAAATATGAAGATTACCGTCTGTCCTTCAGGAAAATTTCCTTGCGTATAATCTCTTCCTGATAAAAAATATCACCAACATGGTCTTCAGACGAAACTTCTGACAGCCAAGCTTCTGCGGCAAAGGTAAATCTTGTCTAGCCCATGCACTTGACTCTCATTTTGTCTCAGGATCATAAGCATAGCACAGAATTTCATATATAGTTACAATATACTTGAACAAAAAAGGGAGTAATTTGTTCTATGTAGATGGCATTTTTTGCTCAGTTTTGAGTTCCTGACATCAAAACAAGCAAACTAAAACACCAAAATAATAAATTCATCAAGTATTGTTTGGCATTATTGTGGAAATTTGTTAAACAAATTAACTCTAAACTTTGTAGATTCACTGTTATATGCGGAAATAAGAATTACAATAGGTTTTAACACCATGTAAGCTTATTAGACTTACGAAACTTTGAAAATATTAGTGATTTTATATGAATATGCTAATATTATGACTTTATTTTCTTATATTTTAAAATTCGTAATGACGACTCATTACAAAACTGATTTTTTTAAATTCAGGCAGCAGATTACGCTATTCTCGATATTATTAATAACCTTTCATATATATGCCATTAGACGGAAACTTATATGCATTAGCTTTAATACAAGGTTTTCACAGAAACTTACAAGTAAAGAGAACTTAATAGATATCTAAAGAGACATTCTGTTACCTAACGAACAATTGTTGAACCAGAGTCACAAAAAGAACTCTTTAAGCAGCGTTGTAATGGGCTGTTTCTAAGAGAATTACAACCTCTTAGACGCACAGCTCTACCTCTTAAAAACACAGCTTTATGAATTACGCGGTTCTAATTCATTTATTTACTTTTTAATATAATTAAATTCTTAGCTATTACAATATTACTAGTGAGAGGTGATTGAAAGTAAAATTGAAAGGATACTTACAATGAAGGAATTTAAATCAACATGCCCCCCCCCAAATTATTTGAACTGGATGTAGTTATCGTTACGTCGATTATTTCTGTTCTATTACTTCTATTGTTCCCTAAAATTTGTTAGTATTTTAACACAAGTCATTCATATAACACCATAAATAATAGGACTACTAAAAAAAGAATATAAGCATTTTCGGTGCATGCTTTAAAATTAAATGTCAAATTAATGCTTTTTTAAATGCACACAAAATATTTTTTTAGTAAATTGAACTAAAATCATGTAATTTAAATGTTTACATTTACATACTTTAATTTTTTTTTTTTTTTTTTTTTTTTTTTTAGTCTACAGAACGCGGGAAAATTACAAAGAAAGAAAATTAGTTTCTGAACGTGGGAAAATTATTCCTGAGATTAGATAGCGTTTCTAAATCAAACAGATATTTAAATGAAATTATTAGTTGTAATAATTTCATTTAAATATCTGTTTGCCTTAGATCTGCGATCTCATCTCATGAAATCATATGCTACTAACAATGCGATTTAAATTTTCAATTTAAAAAACATTTGTAATTAATAAAGATCGAAATCCTGCGATCAATTCTTTGAGAATATGCCAGAAAAATTCAATTATAATTATAAAAAAAGGTGAGTGTTGAATTTTGAAAGGAGTCTTTTGAAATATTATAATGTTATGGCAAATACATATGTGTGAAAAGTTTCAAGAAAATCGGGTTTGTAGAAAGAGGTCAAATATTAATTTTGATATTCTCCCAAGTAAACAAACAAACCAATCAACAGTAAAAAAACTAGAGAAATTGAGTTAAATAAAACCGTGGAGTAGAAACTAAAATTAATTTTACGCAGCCAAATTAACGAAAAACAACATCCGAAGTTGCAGAAGACAGTTATTTGTCCGGAATTATTTATCCTAAATTAATTATTATCCTAAATTAATTATTTATCCTAAATTACTTATCCTAAATTAAAAATTATTTAGAAAAGAAATTAAATTTTTAATTAAAGTTTTCCTAAATTGTTGATTGGATTTGAGAGAGAGATTATGGGATTATGAAAAATTATTCACTGTAAGTGATAAGACTTCTACTTCTTTTGTCAATATATCTAAGAAATATGTATGTGTTCTTTGTAAGAATGCTGGCAATTTGTGCTTTCATAAAACCTAAAACAAAATAAAGAGAAATTTTATTGTTGATATTAATTTTTTGTATTTTAAAATGCTTTCTGTGATTGATGAAAGATGTGGTGAAAAACAGGTATTTTATTGATAATTTATATATAATTTCATTAAAACTCTGAAATAAAAATGTATAGGCCGGCATATTAATTTTCAGAGTATGGCTATAACCTGCATATATTTCTGTATTTTGCATCTGAATTCTGAATTTAAAAACTGGAGAAAATCAACAAAATTATTTTGAAACTTACATTTTCTCACACGATGGACATTTTTCGTTAATATAAGAGATTTCTTTTTTCTCTTGAAATATATTTATTTTAAATGTAAAGAGGAATCTTCTGCAATACAAAATACATCTGAATGGACGTAAAACTACCTAATTACGGTAAATCACATTAGGGAAACCTGCTTAAGAGAAAAGATTCCTTCGTGCAGGAATTTCTATGGAGAACTGACTCATACTCACATTATATATAAAAAACAACGAAAACGTCCATGCAGCTATAAACCATTTAACGTCATCGAAGCCATGGACGGTTTTATCCAAACAGTCATTAGTATATCCTGCATTTTCGATTGATAAAGATAGTTTTCACGTGTTCTGGTTATATTTCAAAGCATATTAACTAAAGTACAAAATAAAAGTATTTTCTGTTTTAGTTTACTGCATTTTATTTCAATAAAGCTCAAGCATTTAAAAATATAGAATTAAATACAAAAGTAATAAAGTTTGTCGAAAAATATTTCGGTAAAACTAAGCAACTAAATTATATTTCACTTGACTAAACATAGTCCCTAAACATACAACATATCTATTTTATTTAAAATAAAACAATGGAATTTAATGTTTCTTAGTGGCAACTCAAAATTAAGCACGTTAATTGATTTTTATTTTCTCTGTGATTAAACAAAAGAAACATTTTGCATATGCATGAAATAAATAATAAAAGGTTGAATACATTTTAAGAAAGTCGTTTTGTTTTCACGTAACGTATAGAGTGTTGTTTTGACAAAATAAAATGCCTCGGAAATTGAGGGAAGGGAAGAACAGATCTGGAAGCTTCTCTTGGCAAGTGCTGTCTGTCATTGCGGGAAAAATTAAGAATTGTAATTTACTTACTACAAGTTATCGTGAGTAGCAAGTTTTTAAGGATGTTGCCATTAGGCATAGCATAAAAACTTTAATTTATCCTTCATTTTTAAGAAATTTGTGATTTAGGACAAACAGAACGATTTAAAAGTAATAAGCACACTTTCAAAAATTTTAATCTTTATTTAGTTTTTAATAATTTATCCAATCGACGCAAATTAAAATACATTTAATCAATTTAATATATATTATATGTATAAAGTTAATTATTTTTTATTTTATTATTAGCCCAAACGGGCCGTAGCCCAGAAGGGCTATTAGTCTCGAAAGGGGCATTTTGTGGCATTTGACTATAAACGGTCAATAACTTTTCAAATTGTTTCCACCAAATGTTATCGCTCTGTATTATATTTAAAGAAATTAAGTAATGAAGAATCTGCATAAATGTATGTGTGTTTCTCGCTTTGTGAAAAAACGACGGTACCTAGAGCTATCATATTTTGAATAAGATAATCCTCCATCCAAACACAGGCATCCGGAAGCCCAAATTTTCAATTTGTTTTACTGTCTATTTCCCGTTTTGTAAACCGTTAACGAATTTTTTATTAACAAACTCAAAGATTTCAAAGCGAGCTGTGGCAACACTGTACGAAAAAAAAAAAAAAAAAAAAAAAAACTATCTCCAGTACGCTAAGCTGCCTATCGGAAATTCTAAAGATATATTGTTTTTAAATATTATTTTGTTATATTGCTGTTGAATTGAATTTTATGTAGTTTAAGTGGGAAGAACATGATATTTAATGTATAAATAAACCTAACATACGAAACGTTAAAAAAAGTCCCTTTTGGCGTAATATAAAATCTTAAAGCTCTCGGATTTTTCTTTAAAAATGTTTATGAACATTTGTGTATATTTTCCGTTTATAAAAGATATTTTTAATGCTGTTGGTTTCGTATCTGATATAGAATCATTTGCTTTTAAAGTTTTCAGATAACTGACAATTTTATTATTTTCTTCACACTAAAGTTTTGAAAGTTTTAATGGTAAAGTCTTTAATTTCTCAGAGTGCAATTTGGGGTCTTTATATTTTAATTTTTCCTTTTTAATAACTTTAAAAATGCTCTAGAAATCACTAAATTTTTACATTAAATCATTAATTTTAAAATTACGAATTAAATAAAAAAAAGTTTAAAACTTGATATACTGCAGATGTTCGTGTATGTATTTGTATACAGTAAAGCCTATAGTGATTCGAAAATAGTGCTCCCTATTGGATTACATTTTCTGTAAAATTAGTAATAACACGTAAATAAGTTAAATTTAACTTATTGATTAATTATTTATTATCTAATCAATAAGTTAAATTTAACTTATTGATTTAGATGTAACATAAAGTTATTCAGATAATTAAATGTTTCAAAGTCCGGATAACTGGAGTTCTACTATATAAATCAACTGCCTGAAAATTTCGTTCCTTATAAAAAAGATAATATTTGTGGCTAAAGATTTGCCATGTATCTTAAAGCGAGTTCCAGCCTAAAAGAGGATTCTTGGGGCAGAAACGAGCAGGTTTACAGAGCTAGATCTCAATATGGAGAACGTCCCTCCTGCTGACTGCTTACCCTCCCCCATCCCACCAAACCGCTAAGTCGATTCGCGGTGAGAGTCGGTAGATCGCGTTACTCGATGCCGAGTGCTCTCAATGGACTGTCGGCGGATGCTCTGCGTCTTGCTCTGCATGATCTACATGCTTCACGTCACCGGGCTTTGGTGGTAAGTGATGTGCGTATCTTGTTTTCTTTCATCTAGGACGTAGTGGTTGATTGTTCTCGAATATTGCCTGTAATAGCAAATGGACAGTCTTTTTTTCCCTCTCAGTTTCGATCTCGCAAATGTCTTGAGGGAAATTTAAATTATTTAGATACTGCCCTCAGTGCAAGAAATGTCTAAAGCTAAACATGTTATCATTTTAGTTATCTGGTAGTTTCAAATGATAGGCAATTAAGATACATTTCTTGATTTTTAAATAAATCCTAAGGAAAAAATGTTAAATGTTAAGATAGTTTTAAAACATTTTATTATGTGTGTCTGGAATGTGTTTTAATACAAAATTATAAATAAAAGATTTCTGTAAGATTTTTTTTCCTTAAAGAAAACACACTGAATCTTTTTTTTTTTTTTTTTTTTTTTTTTTTTTTGCGAGTAAATAAAAGAATTGTGTGCGAAGTTATGATTTTAATGTTAAAAAAGAAGAACTTATCCTAATCTTTGAAAAAAAATTTTGAACTTTACATATCATCAAGTTTTTTGCATTTTTTCATAAGAAAAATGTCCGCTTTTGATTTAATGTTTAATTTTGAAGCTTAGGACCACGAACATCATGTAATCTTGCTTTTGATGATTTCGATATATTAGATGATTTCGATATATTAAAGATTAAGATTTTTAGTTGTGATTAATTAAAAATTTGGGTATAGTTTACAAAATGTTGACATCGAGTCTTGCAGTAACAAACTGCATTATGAGTTCTGTTAAAACAGTAATACTGTAACACTTTGGTGTTAATGCATTTGGAAGTTTTCAGTAATTATAATTGTAATTATTATCACAATGGGTATATACTTTTTCATTTCACATACCATTTCTTTCATCTAAGTTGTTTTTCAGTACTGATTAGCGGTGATAATCTAAATTAATTATAAATAAAGGTGTTGTGAAAATTTAATACTGCAACTGCTAATCATTGAACAGCGCGGGTTTAAATTGAGAATATTCACTCCTTAATTTTTTACAAGAAATACAAACATCTTCGAAATTTGAATATTTGAGACAGTTATAAAACTCTTGAAATCGAAAAATGTTGAAAATATTAATAGGTAAATAGCTATGTTCCGAATGTGTAAAATGTATGTAAGTAGCTAACTTATACGACCTTTTACAACCATAAAATATGTATAACTTGTAACAAAAACTTTTCATTCATCATGTCCAGTGCTGTTAACACGTGTAATGGCCGTGTTGCTTTTGTTATGCAATGCAGTAGTTATAGGTATTGAGAGACGATGAGTATTTCTAACTGAGAGCATAACGTTATGTGTTTATGACTTTAATTTACAGATCTGCCTTTTAAACCATTTTCTACTGATTATGATTTTTGTAAGAATAGTTTATTTTCCCCCCTAGCTTTATTGTAATTATTCCATATATCATAGAAAAATATTAATTAGAAGTTTGTTATATCCTTAGTACTGATATTAAGCCATGATGTAGGATGCTAATATTCAAATTTTGGGGAATCAGAATTACAAGCGGGTTTTCGAAAGATTCAGCACACCCCACATTTTGCAAAACGTACGTAGTAAATATTTCTTCCATGATGCTCATAAACTTATGCTATTATCAACAATGAAATAAAAAAGCTATTTTTGGAAATATGTAATCTTTACATGTAAATTATTTAAATGTTTCACATTTCTTGATATTAAATATTTGCATAGAGCATGAAATACAAAGTAAATGCTACACAATTCTGAAATTAACTTACATTTTGAATTAAGAACAAAAGATAAAATTGTTTTGGATTACTACAGCAAATCACCCAAAAGCTATTTGCCTAAGAGGAGGGTGCCTTCGAGGAGAACTTTTCAAGGGAAACTGGATAGTGTTCATCTTACGTGTAAGATTATGGAAAATCCCATTTAACTATTCCATTCGCGAAATTTTTAACCCAGATTGAATTCCAGTATTTGAGCATTTCTCAAAAAGAAAAAAAAATAGTAAGGAAGCTAAAACTCAAAGCAAAAGTTTAGTAAGGAATATGACAGAAAACGTAATTGTTAATTCAGAAGTCAAACAACAAAACACCGAGTTGTTAACAGCCTAATTGTTAACAACTCGGCGTGCTCTTTGTCTGAACTTTGAAACGATTTCGCAAAGAAGTAACTTACAAGTAATTTTATAGTTAATTCAATTGCATTTATATAATTCTGAAATTTCGAAATCGTACTTTTTTTAAGTATCTCAAACATGTTCACTCTTATTAAATCAAGGACTGGAAAGACAGTCTTTTCTTTAGATACTTAAAGGTGGGTATCGCTGGATGAAATCACACATTGTGAACCATTAAGAGAAACTCCTCGCCTACAGCTCTTGCCATAACAATAAAATCTGTGAAGCATAAACATCTATAACATCTATGAAGCATCCAAAATTGCTTCATATATGAATTCCATATGTCATCGATATACACATTTCTAAACATTTAAGGAATCACAATTTTCTTTGCCGTGTGACACTAGCCTATGAAAAAACCACAATTCCTTGCCTTAAAATCCATGTCTTTCTGTAATGCTATTGGGAGTATGCTAAGTCTTTAACTTTCTTCACATATCTATTCACTTAAAAAGCTAAAGACACATATATAGCAACATGTTAGGAAAAAATAGATCTCAAGACAAGAAATTGTGGTTTTAAGTGAGCAATTGTCAAGTTACCACATGGACTCGTATCTTTCAAGGAAGTTCCTTAAATGCCCTGAGATATTTACCTCATATTTAGAATTATACGTAAAAATTACTATAGAAACATCGAAATTCACCTTAATAGCCATTCATGCATTTTGATGTTATGCAAGAGACTTTTATATTTGACATTAATGCAAGAGACATTTGTATATTTGTACCTGAAAAGGTATCATCATACTGCTGTGTAAACTGACTGGGTATGTTTGGTACATTTTAGATGGAAAAAATTCACAATGCCAGTCATTTATTTAAAGTACTTCAGGAGCAAAGAAGAAGGAGGTGAGATTTGCTCTTCGAAAATCATATCAAAACTTTAAAACAACTTGAAAAGTCATTACCAGTTTCATGACTTTGTCAGTGAAAATCACAGCCCTTTTTAAAACTCTTGTGTTAAGATTCAAATAATCTATAAGCTCAATTTTTTTGTATATCTTGTCTCTTGCGCTTATTCTTATTGCTTGAATTGTTTTCAAAATTGCATCATATTCGCTTTACATTCTATGAGTTAATGCAAATACAAGGATTTTAAGCAAATTCCGTCCTTTTAGCTGAAATACAACGAGAGATATGAACTGCTATGGTAATATTATCTTTTGTTTTTATCAAATACAAAGTTTTACGTTCATTTCTCATCCTCAAGCATTTATCGTAATAATAAAACAAAGTCATTTTTTAAATAATATTTACTTAAACGTCTTTTTCTATGAATTACAATTACGTTTAGTATATGTTTTTGCCTGTGTAATTCACAGTTCTTGTTTAATTATATTATGGCAGAAACTTTTGAAAGCCATTCTTTTTCTGTCTCTCTTATTTATATTTTCTTAAATAAAACCTGCATCTTCGAAGTTGCTATTATTTTAGGTTTACTACTTATGGATTATTATTAGAATTCAGTTGTTATTCATTTAAACTGAAAGTACAAACCGAAAATACATGGGCTGAGCCAATGGGGAATTCCTCTCTAAGGGAGAAATTTCAAGACTTTTGGGTGGGGAAGAAGGGTATTACTTTATAAGGTATTTCTCCCACCTTACCTTCGTGGTGTAGTGGTTCTGCAAGCTGGGCCGGTATTCCAGAGGTCCGTGGTTCGATTCCCGTCGAAGGCGGTTGCTAATTTTTCATCTCTCCGGCTTTTCCAATTAACCTAATGTCTCTACATCTTGACCTCATACTGATATTGATACAAGCTGTAACAAAAACTAACAGAAAGGAATGGCGAAGAAGTGGTTGAAATCACTTGATCCAAGAGCGATTAAAATGTTAAAATTTAGGGGGTGTGTAAGCACAATAAAATCAATAGAAAGTTTCTTTATTTACATTTCTTTAATATAATAATAATTTATACATTGGTAAGAATATAAATAATAGATGTTTATTAGTATAATAAATTACAAGCTTATGTGTACGTTTACGATATATTGAATTAAAAAAAAAATTAATATTAATTCTTTCCTATAATTTAAATGTTGAGAATCACCAATATAACACTTTTAAATAAACTTAAATAAACACTTTTAAATATTATAAAATAAACACTTTTAAATATTATAGAGTCTTACATGAGGTTCCAGACTGCTGTACTTATCTCCGGATATTTTATGTCCTCCAACCTTTCAACACTGACATAATTTTTGACAGAGGGACAGTTACAAATCTAAAGCACTTATGGCATCAAGTAACTACTATGGCCACTTGATGTAAGTGAATAAGAGGCCATTAAAGGGGCGACTGTCTCCCCACGTGCAACTGTGCTCAAGATTTAATTCTCGTAACTGTTATACTTACTGATTAGTTAATGTTACCGGGCCTTTAAGTTTCAAAATATTTCGCGAAATTTCAATTCCATTAAGCTGAAATAGCTACCCGATTTCCTGATGTCATTCGCTATACTATTTCATCATCATTCGCTTCGTATTTACCTTTAAGAGAATATCAAATGTCATTCTCAGCTTAGCAAATAAAGTGGTTTTCTTTTTTAGTAGAATAAAATATTCTGCGACTAAGTAAATTTCTTAATAGTTTATTAAAATATATTTTTTAACATTACTTTGAATATCTCTTTTTAAATTTTTAAAGGGTATATAGAGTAGAATAATAAAACAAACCTGAATTTTAAGACTTTACATTCTGATCTTCAGCTGGAGTAGAGCGCAGCATTTTCTTTTACTCGACAGTACTCTACCCGAACTCCGGCATATTTATTCTTTAATTGATTACGTTAAAGGACTAGAGAGCTATCTACCTAAA